CACACACACACACACACACACCCTGCGCGTGTCGTGTCCTGTGCGCGTGCGTCGTGTCGTGTCGTGTCGTGTCGTGTCGTGTCTCACGCGTGGGCGCAGGCTGAGCGAGCTGACGGGCCACGAGGGCGCGGGCCTGTCGAGCGTGAAGACGATCGGGGCCTACTGGACGCTGCTGGCCGGCGTGGTGCCGTCCGAGCGGCTGGCCCGGTTCGTGTGGCACCTCGACAACGAGGCCGAGTTCAAGACCCCGCACCGCGTGCCGTCCCTCAGCCGCGACCACCCGCACTTCTCCGAGTACGGCCACTACTGGCTCGGCAGCGTGTGGCCTCCCACCAACTACATGGTTCGTTTCCATGCGCGTGTCGTGTCGCTGGTCGTGTCGTGTCGTGTCGTGTCGCTGGTCGTGTCGTGTCGTGCGTGCGTGTGCGTGTGCCGCGATTCACGAGCTAACATCGATCGTGTGTGCGTGTGCGCGCGAAGGTGTTGCGCGGCCTCACGAAGAACGGGCAGGACGACCTGGCCCACGACATAGCGGCCAACCACCATGCGACGGTGGTCGAGGTCTATCGGGAGAGCGGCACCGTCTGGGAGAACTACAGCCCCGCACGGGCCGCTCCCGGCGCCCCCGCACGAGAGTAAACCCCCCCCATCGCCACGCGGCACGCAACCGCACACGACTGACACACGACACGCACCACCGCACACGCACGCACCACCGCACGCAGGAATTTTGTGGGCTGGAGCGGCCTGGGCCCTATTGCCATCTTCCTCGAGTACGTGATCGGCCTCCGGCCTGACGTCGAAAAGGGTACCTTCCCCGCTTCTCCACAACCTTCGCGTGTTAGCGACTCGCAACACGCGCGCGTGTGCCGTGTGTCATGCGTGTGTGCCGTGTGTCATGCTGTCTCTGTGCGCGTGCGCGAAGGGGTGCTGGTGTGGGACGTGCGGCAGCTGGAGGCACACGGCGTGGCGCGGTATCCGTTCGGCCGCGACGGGTGGCTCGACCTCGCGTGCGACGAACGGGCCTCGGCGGAGGACCGGCCCGTGGTCCGCGTCGAGAGCTCCGTCGCCCTCCAGCTCGAGCTGCGGTGGGGCCCGCCCGCCCGCCCACGCGTCGAGCTCATCGCCATCCACCCAACCGCCGCCGCATGGCACAATCAGTAAACGCGCTGCGTACTTCGTAATCATCACCAGAAGTGCATTCAAAAGTTTCATTATTGCACTTGCTCATAAATAGCCACGTTGTGTGTGCGTGTGCGGTTTCACAAGTCCATCGAACAGCACCAGGCCGGCACGATCGTGGCCGTGCCTGCACGACACACAGGACCAAGACACATTGTTCAGCGTAAGGAGCTATGATTGTGGCGGCATGCTGTGTCGTGTCGTTGGTCGTGTCGTGTCGTGTGTTGCGTACCGTCTCGCCAGCCGATGGCGGGGAAAATAGGGGTGCCCGTGGGCAGGTCGGTGTAGGCCGGCCCCATGGACTTGCCTGTGCACGTGGCGCGTCGTCGTCGTCAGCCGAGTCTATCGAATGCCCCCAACCACCACCCACAAGGCGCATTGCATTGCACGGCACGGCACGACACTGCACAGCACGCGTACCGTTCTTGAAGAAGGAGAGGTGGCCCTGTTCGAGGTCGAGCAGCACCCCGATGTGGTCGCCCACGCCGTACACCTCACCGTACGCCGTGCGCACGCCGCCACTAACGCCGCGACACACACAACGCACGCGGTCAGTTGGAGCACACAACGCACACGCGGTCAGTTGGAGCACACGACACACGCACTACCGCACACGACACGACACACGACACCAGAGAGTGCTGCGCACCGTTTGCGCTGGGCGACGGCCTCGTAGGCCCAGGCGTCCGTCGACGCCGCGAGGTAATTGTCGAGCTGCGTGGAGGGGAGGGACTTGAGCACGACCCCCACCGAGAACTCCTGCCCGTTGACCTTGATCTCCCAGTAGTGCTTGCCCGTCGAGAAGCCCGTCGACCCGATCGCCAGCGAGTACCACCCGGCCTTGACCTTGCGCGCCGTCCGGCCCTGGTCCTGCAATCGCGTGGCCGTTCAGTGTGTGTCTCGTGTCGTGTGCCGTGGTGCGTGTCGTCGTGTCGTGTGCCGTGGTGCGTGTCGTGTCGTGTCGTGTGCGGTTGTCGTGTGCGGTACCTCGATCTGGATGTTCTGGCCGTGCCAGGAGGGATCCCAGAGGAAGTAGGTGTGGTACTTGCGTCGCCGCAGCCGCGGGTTTTTCTGGTCCTCTTCGACCAGCAGCGAAGACGAAGAAGAAGAGGAGAAAGAGGCGGCGGCGGAGAGGGCCGCGTCCCCGACGTCGGGGCTCTCCCCATCGGCCACCACCCCGTCCCGCAGCAGCACGTGGTGCCTGAACGCCTCATAGAGCAGCTCGGCCGGCACCAGCCCCGTCTTTTCCGCCTCCTCGAGACCTACACGACACACGACACACGACACACGACACACACGACACACGCACGACGACGGTGTGAGGAACTGAAGGGGGTTCGTGTGGTGACGTGTGAAGGCACCTTGGGGCGACATCATGGGGAAGCGGATGTGGGCCATGAGCGACGCCAGGCGGCGGCGCAGGGCGTCGGTGAGGGCCGGCGAGGTGGCGGACGGCAACGACAACGACGACGACGATGAGGAAGAGGAGGAGGAGGAAGAAGAAGACAATGAAGATGAAGAGGAGGAGGAAGATGAAGGTGACGAGGGGACGAGGTCGGGCTGTTCGCGAGCGAGGGCTGCGCGGCCCCAGTCGACGAGGGCCAGGAAGAGCATGTACTCGTCGCCGACGGACAGGCGGTCGCTCTTGAGGACCTCGGCGAGCACGGCCTCGGGCAGCTGGCGGAAGCCGGCCCGGTTGTGCTTGAGCAGCTTGGAGAAGTGCTCCTCGATGAAGTAGAGACACTCGATCGAGATCTGCTGCTTGTGCTTCGTGTAGGTCTCGGCGAACAGGTCGAACGCGTTCTCGTGCGAGATCACCTTACGCACGTACCTCTGCACATCACACCACGAATGCGTGTAGAGAGAGTTGAGATGAGATGATTATTTCATACTTCATTCGATTTATCATTCTTGTAAATGGAGTTGACTGATTGTTAATTGGAGGATTAAAGAAATAAATATAATTATAGAATGATAATGAATGAAAAGCAAAAAGTCAAGGGCGAGGCGCACGTCGAGACAGACGCCAGCGAGGCCTGGCACGTCGAAACGCTCGGCGAGCTCGAGAAGTTGGAGGCCCGCATCGGTGGAGAGGCCACTACCCGCGTGCAGCGCCCCCGAGTAGACGAAACGCAACAGCATCTTGAACGTCTGTGGATCGACGTCGGGCAGCTCCAGCTCGGCAACCGCCCCAGCTTGTGATGAGCTCGCAGACGAGAGCAGAAGCGCGTGCAGAATGGGAGAGGCGGTGGCCAAGACGGCGCGATGCGCGGGTACTGGCTCGCGCTGCGGCCCGAGGTGGAGCACGACGTCGCTGAACCACGCCCCAGGGTCGTCGGCCAACGTGGCCAGACGCGTAGAGAGATCCAGCAGATTGCGCTCGCGCAATGCACGCTTCTTGTCCCGATCGTGGGCCGCCTTCGTTGCTGCGCCCAACGACGTAAGCGATGCCAGCGAGACTGCGTCAAGGCGCTGCTCCCCTCCTTGTTCATCCATCATCATCGACCTTGTGTTGTTGCCTTGCGTCAATCTCTGAAAAATGCTATTGTTTTATGTCGACAAGGCGGAATAAAAGAGGGAAATATCACAAAAAAAGACAAAAAAAGCCCTCATGTAGAAGACGGTCGGTCAAGTTGTTGTTGATGAAGGTTTCACACTGTGCAAGAGAGAACAAGTAAGTAGTAGTTTGTGTAGAACGTGTTGTGCTACTTGCTTACTGCTTCTCCTTCTCGGGGTCGTATTCAAAGGGCTCCGGGGGGTTGGGCTCGTCGCCCTCGTCCTCCTCCTCGGCCGTCGGGGGCTTGGCGGGCGTCACCAGCTCCACCGGCTCGCCCGCCTTGTTGTCCTTCAACAAGACGATGCCCAGCACGCTGGTCCCCTTCTTCACCGGCGTGTAGCGCTCGTCGACGTCGAACGTTATCCGCCCGAGCTGGGGGATCGTCACGCGGGCCGGGTTCGAAAGCACCTCAAAGGCCGGCTCGGGCTTCTTCTCCTCGGCCTCCTTCCTCTTCTTCTCCTTCTCTTCGGCGGCCTTCTTCTTCTTCTCCTCCTCTTCGGCCTTCTTCTTCTCCTCCTCCTCCTTCTTCTCGACGTCCATCTCGTCCGCCTTCTCCTTCTCCTTCTGTCGCTGCCTGATCTTGGCCTTCTTGGTGACGGAGAGCTCGGCCGTGCGCAGCTTCTGGGGCGTCTTGACGACGGGCGGCTGCACCTTGGGCGGGTAGGCAAAGTGGGAGGGCGGGGCGTTGCTCTTGAACTGGAAGACGGGCATCTTGAGGTCGTCGTTGAGGCCGATGACGGCGGTCGGGGTGAAGCTGAGGCAGAGGAAGTGGGCCAGCGGGTGCCAGTACCAGTACTGGGTGAAGAGGGCGAGGCCGACGATGGCCGGGATGTCGGTGTGGCCGGCGACGGACTGGGGCCGGATGGTGCAGTTGCGGCCGCCGCAGTCGATGATGCCCGACGCGAGGCAGGCGCCGAACTTGGCCATGATGTCCTCGTGCTTGTCGGACACCTTCTCGGCAAAGAGCTTGCGCACCTTCTCCACGCGCGGCTCCTGCGCCTTGGAGGTCTGCACCAGCACCATGGCCAGCGCGATGAGCGCGCCCTGCCTCACAAAGTCCACCGGGTCGTTGGCCAGGGGCTCCAACAGATCAACAGCGGCCTGATCGCAAGAAAAACGTCAGCAATGAATGCATGTGTGTGTGTGCGTGCGTGTGTGTTTGTGTGTGTGTGTGTGTGTGTGTGTGTGGTGCGTGCGTGCGTGCGTGCGTGGTGATTGTCGCATGTGATGGTACCTTGAGGCCGGTGCCGGCGCAGGAGATACCGACGGCGAGGGTGGCGCCGTAGCGGACGTGCGGGTTATAGCTCTCGGCGAGGAGAGACACGAGCTTGGGGCACTGCTCGGGCTGCTTGAAGAGCAGGAAGCCCAGGGCGATGACGGCCGCGCGACGCACGTCGTTCGACACGTCGCTCACGGCCACGTGGAGCAGACGGCGGATGGCGGCGTTGTTGGCCGTTCCGCAGTAGGCCAGCGCGATGGTGTACATGGCGCCGTACCTGAGGATGGGGTCCTTGTCGAGGGTGAGCTGCTCGATGAGGGTGTCGGCCTCCTCCTCGCGGCCGCACATGACGAGCGCGATACCGATGGCCAGACCACGGATGATCTTCTCGTGCTGGGTGTCGTGCGCGTAGGCCAGCATGTCCTCGAGCGCCTGGTCCGAGGCCGAGCCGAGCATCAGCAGGCCCATGGCGATACCGGCAGCCTCGCCCGCGACGGCGCTGTCAGTGTACAGGACGTTCTTGAGGTCCTCGAAGATCTCTGTTCACAGTGGGGTGGGAGGAGGCTTGAGTTGCTTGTCGTCGCGTGGATGAATGAAAGGCGAGGAATGTGCAGCTAACGCACCAGTGTTCTGGGTGGCCATCGCGGCAACGCCGAGGCCGAGGCAAGCGCCGTGCTGGACGATCTCGTTGGTGCCCGCGTTCAGCAGAGCCTTCTTGAGCTCGGTGGTGATCTCGTCGCCGTGGTTGGCGTGGATGAGACCAAGCGCAAAGAGCGCACCTCCCTCGGAGTAGGGCGACGACGCCGCAGACTGATCATCATCAACACCATCGAAGAATTTGAATTAGTGTCCAGTTCCACCACCGAACCATAAAGGGCACGGGTACTGTGTGGGAGGGGGATGGCGCACCTGCTGGGGGAGGTAGGGAGCCAGGATGGTCATGCTCTCCTTGTGGTGGCCCTTCTGGATGACACCCAAGCTGGCCGTGGCGGTGAACTTGGACCAGTTGGTGGCACGAGCGAGCCACTCGAGGTGGTCGCGCAGGAAGAAGTCGTTGGTGGTGCCGGCCTGGGCGAACCCGTGGCAAATGATGATCGAGGAATAGACCACAGAGCTGCGGGACTCCATCGCCGCCTGCCCACACGGGGAAGAAGAGGGTGTGAGCTCAAATAACTCAAATTCCAAACCACGGCGCCCACTTTGCATTGCAGCGGCGGAGGAATGCGAATAATGTACCTTGATGTTCTTCAGCACAAGCTTGTCTGTGTGATTGTTGCGGTGCAAGAACTCGAGGAAGAGGTTGATCGAGGTGGTGCCCGAGAGGATGGCTTTCATGTTGTCCACGCGGGAGGCGGGCTGGTGTTCAAGCGCAGATGATAAGGAGAGCACGATCAGCCAATCTGTGAAATGGCGCACGTGCGAGAGAGAGACATGTCGCGCAGTGTTGCACACGTACCGGCTTGACGTCACCCTTCTCTTCCTGCATGGGGTCCGAGCCGCTCGAGGAGGAGGCGCCCTTCTCCTCCTTCTTCTTGACCATTTCGTTGTAGTACTCCTGGATGCGTGCCTGCTCGGCATCGGCCTCGACACCCGAGCCGATGGCCTTGCGCACCTCACCGCGGAACTGCTGCGAGGCGTTGTGCACGAGGTCGAACGCGATCTGGTACGCGACGAGCAGCTCGTCCTGCACAAAATGACGATTGTCGACAAGACGCGTAGTGTTAGTATGCGTTCATCAGGAGCGCATCATGGAAGAAGAAGAAGGCTCACCTCAGTGCCAGTGAGGAGTTTGGCGAGGATGTCGGACACAGCCTTGTGGTCGTCGAGGAAGATGAGGATCTCGCAGATTCGAATCCAGTCGGGGGTGGCCAGTTCTCTGTACAGCTTCACCAAGATCCTCAGAACCACTTGTCTGAAGTCGCGGCTGATGACGTCCATGCAGATCTTGAAGCAGTAGTTGAGCATGTCCGCCACTTGGCCCGATTTCTTGATCGTCTCCTCTATCCTGTCCACCCGCCTCGATTCCAACGCGATGCCCAGCGCGTACTTGTACTCGCCCATGTCGTAGCTTCGATCAAACACAGTGTCGACCAGCTTCTCGAGGTCCTTGATCGGCACCTCCTGCTCTTTTGTTTCATGCTCCACCCTCTGCCTGATGTACTCATCGATGCACTTGGCTGCGCGCGTAGCGTGTGGATGATGGTGAGATTGGCGCTTTGCCACACTGCGATCTGCAGATCTGTAGCGCTACCGTGGGGGGGGGGCGTACAGGTGAGCGTTCTGACGAATTCAGAGTCCTCTTCGATGTTGAAGAGCTTGCCAGCCGACAGAGCATAGATCATGGCCGACTTGAATGAGCCGATGTGATAGTAGACCTTGGAGGCCACCAACGCAGCGAGCTCTCTGGCCTCGAAGCTCTCACTCTCATTCAGCACCTCACTGTGCACAAAAAATGGGGCCGCTAAGATCTCTGCTCTGGATCCAGTGCAAAAGATTGTGGAGTTAAGCAGGCGTACATCTGCTGAATGTTGTCCGAAATCTCAGGCCAGAACTCATCCACGATGTTATCGAGCTTCTCGAGAGCGTAGATCTTGAGCTTGGGCTCGGTTTCTTCGAGCAGAGCGAGCAAGCCGCTGGCTGATGTAAGTCCAGTGGCCATCTTCAGTTCTTTTCTATTGATGCGTCTCTATGCGCAGTGCTTTTTGTCTCTTTTCTGAGGATCGCCTCGATCTATCTTCTTCGCTTGGCTGGACCGCCAGCACGTCCAGCAAAACTCTGCGTGGGTCAGCACCTGTCGACATTAATCGAGAGAAAATGAGCTCGCTTAGGGAAAATATAAAGGAAATTACAAACAAGCAGGCACATGAACGCTGTTGCCGATGCACCTCGCACGTCCCAACAACGATGAGTCTCTGACGAAGAAGAGTGGAGCGGATAAGAAGAGTAGATGTGATACAGCGTTTGTTTTTTTCATGTTGCGCAAAGCCAGTGCAGCCATCTGTACAGGTTTGTGGAAAGGAAACACGACGTGGTGCTTACTCCTCAAGGGTTCGCTCGACGCAGGCTCGCACGCGCTTGTTGTACTCCTTCTTGTCGCTCACAAAGAGGCGAGCGGCCTCCGGGTTGGCCGGGCTGTCCGGGTTGGGGTCGGTGAACAGGCTCGTGATGCTCGTCAGCAGGCTCGCCACCGAGTAGACCTGGTGACCACACAACAGCAGTGATCGTGATCACACCACGATCGTGGTGCACCGCTGTGAGCAATCAAGCATAAACGGACTCACACAAACAAGGCTGTGCGAAAAGCAGCGAGACGTACAGGGGTCCATTTGTCTTGAATGATATCAAGACACAAGCTGCCATCACCAAACACTGAGCAAGAGTGGTCGATTAGTTGGGCAAGCTGTTGTCGGAGCGAAGCCAAACGACGAAGGAGACGTCAATGAGTCCAGGCATACCATTTGGATGGTAGACGGTCTGCATGAACTTGACCTTGGGCGGCTTCTGCGGGTATTCTTCAGAGAATACCAACTTCAACTGAAACACGCCGCCTGACTCAAGTAACGACCATGCAAGCACATGACGGTAAGCAAGTGGTGCCAAAGCGTCCACGTGCGCTCGGTGCCAAAGGAGTGAAGAGCGAGAGCGAAAGGCCTGAGCTCATGCGAGTGTGTACCTTCCCACGCTGTCTCGTAGGGTCCGAAGAGGGTCGCGTTCCCTGCACAGTCGGTAGCGCAAGATTGTGAGCTGCACTGCACCAGGGTGCTCGTGTTGTTTAGGACTGAAATGCCAGATAAATGGGGGAAGTACAAACAAACAGATTATCCTCATTCACGGGTCCAGCGTTGAAGCCCTGTGGCCATGCAGAACGAAGGAGCGTGAGACAAGGATGGAATGGGGCAAGCACCTTGAATCTGAGATGCGAAAAAGAGGAAAGAGTAGAGAAGTCACAACGTTACCTCATCTTGGCAGCCCTTGAGATCGCTCAGCAGGCGCAGCACAGCCGCTGTGGGTCCTGATCGATTCATGGCAGCGAAGTGGCGTGGAAATTTGGATTTTGGTGAATCTGATTGCGACGCGATTGTTGTGGTGCAGGCAAGCGGAAGCGCTGAAAAAAGTCACTTTCGAAACCATGAAAAATCAAGCTGCGGGTTCCAGGGCCGATTTACGGAAATGCAGAGAACGTAGGCGGAAATTCGAAAATATGCGAAACACGCTGCGATCAACTCCGTTCGAGGAAGTGCGTCGTGTAGCGTCTGCCTCCGGGCCGCCTTTTTTTGATCGCCAGCACCCGAATCACACAAGCAGACGAACGTCGCGCCACACATCATAATGCTCCGCACTGCTGCTCCCCACGCCCGCGTCGCTGTGCGCGGCAGCTCCCGTTCTGCCTCCTCGCTGAGGCTCTATGCCAGCGTCGCCGGAAAGGAGATCAAATTCGGCAGCGAGGCCCGCTCGCTCATGCTGCGCGGTGTTGATTCGCTCACTGATGCCGTTCAGACCACCCTCGGCCCCAAGGTACGCACTAGTGGCCCAAAATCCTCATTTATTCACGCACGATCAGAAATTTTAATTCTCATCCTTACGCATTTTCATCTGCCACGCACAGGGTCGCAACGTGGTGCTCGAGCAGAGCTTCGGCGCGCCCAAGATCACCAAGGATGGTGTCACCGTGGCCAAGCACATCGAGTTCAAGGACAAGTACATGAACATGGGTGCGCAGTTGGTGCGCGGCGTTGCCAGCAAGGCCAACGACGTGGCCGGTGATGGTACCACTACTGCCACCGTGCTCGCTCGCGCCATCTTCTCCGAAGGCACCAAGGTGGTCGCTGCCGGCATGAACCCCATGGACGTCAAGCGTGGCGTCGATCAGGCCGTCAGCATCGTCGTGGGCGAACTGAAGAAGCTCGCCAAGAAGGTCACCACCACTGAGGAGATCAGGCAGGTCGCCACCCTGTCCGCCAACTCGGATGACTCCATCGGTTCCCTCATCGCCACCGCCATGGAGAAGGTCGGCTCGCAGGGCGTCATCACCGTCACTGTACGTCACTGGCCATCTCATCATCTCATCTTCGATTTTCTCATTTCGAGGAAGCGATCAAGGGTTGTGGCGCGATTTTTTTCTTTCGATATGACACAATCACTCACTCCATCTCTTGTTATTGCCCAACACAGGATGGCAAGACTCTTGAGAATGAGGTCGAGGTGATCGAGGGCATGAAGTTCGATCAGGGCTACATCTCGCGTTACTTCGTCACTGACCCCAAGACCCAGAAGTGCGAGTACGAGGACGCCCTGTTCCTCCTCACCGACGGCAAGATCTCCTCCATCCACTCCCTTCTGCCCTGCCTCGAGGAGGTGAGCCGCGAGCACAAGAAGCTCGTCATCATCTCCGACAACGTCGAGGGCGAGGCCCTGGCCACCCTCATCATCAACAAGATGCGCGGCCTGCCTGTCGTCGCCGTCAAGGCCCCCGGCTTCGGTGACAACCGCAAGAACAACCTCCAGGACATTGCCGTCCTCACCGGCGCCACCGTCGTGAGCGAGGAGATGGGCCTCAAGCTCGAGAACTTCGAGCGCAGCTGGCTCGGTTCGTCCAAGAAGGTCATCATCTCGTCCGACGACACCATCATCATGGACGGCGGCGGTAACTCGGAGAACATCAAGGAGCGCTGCGAGCAGATCACCGAGGCCCTCCAGCGCACCACCTCCAGCTACGAGCAGGAGAAGCTGCGCGAGCGTCTGGCCAAGCTCTCCAGCGGCGTGGCCGTGCTCAAGGTGGGCGGCGCCACCGAGGTCGAGGTCAGCGAGCGCAAGGACCGCATCACCGACGCTCTGAGCGCCACCCGCGCTGCCGTCGAGGAGGGTATCGTGCCCGGCGGCGGCGTCGCCCTGCTCCACGCCTCCAAGGCCCTCGAGGGCGTCACCGGCGCCAACGCCGACCAGACCAGCGGCATCCAGCTCGTCGCCAGGGCCATCCGCATCCCCGCCCGCACCATCGCCACCAACGCCGGCAAGGAGGGCGGCGTCATCGTCGAGAAGATCCTCCAGTCCACCGACGCCCACTGGGGCTACAACGCTCAGACCGACGAGTACGGCGACATGTTCAAGGCCGGCATCATCGACCCCGTCAAGGTCGTCCGCACCGCCATCGACGCTGCCGCCAGCGTCTCCTCGCTCATGACCACCACCGAGGCCATCGTCGTCGAGCTCCCCAAGGAGTCCTCCATGCCCGCTGCCCCCGGTATGGGCGGCATGGGTGGCATGGGCGGCGACATGTTCTAAGCCAACCCACCCCACCTGACCCCGACCCCCCGACCTGGAGAGCGAGAGCTAGCGACCCCAGCAGCCGATCGAAGAAGTAGAAGAGGAAGACCGGAGGAAGAGGAGGAGGAAGGAGAGGAAGACAGAGGAGAGGAGAGCCACACGACCGACCGCCGCAGCCTTGCTATGCATACCCGCCGCCCAGCCACCGTGGTCGCAGGGCGATGACCCGCCTCTTCCTTCTTCTTTCATCATCATCACCATCATCACCATCATTTTTCCCCGCTCGCCGAGTGAAGAGAGTTCCCGTTCAACCTCACGTGTCGTGTGTATCTTCTTCCTCTCCTACCCAACACAGCTGCCTCGTTGTTCGTGTGCTGCCTCCACGTCACCTGGTTATGTAGTGCTACATTTTCGGTCTTCTTCTGCTCCTGTACAGGTGGTTCAGCTGCGCCACCTTCTTGTGTGCAGTGATGTGTGTTTCTACTTCTTCTTTCATGTTCGCCTGAGTGCTTCTTGTCTAGCCGTCTCGCTGTTTTTCCAGCCTGAACAGCTCCTGCTCTGCCCACCCCTTGTCGCTATAACACTTGCGTAGCGCCTCCAGCTCTACTCCCACCCCAACCATGAGCAACCAAGAAGAACAACAAGAAGGTGCCATGATGGTGTTGTACCTGTGACCGGCACCCAGGCCACCTCCTCAGGGCAGTTGTTGACGGGCTCGTGCTGGGGCGCGTTCGCATAGGAGTACCTCCCCGAGCTGTCGCGTAGCCGCTGCTCGTGGCCCGACGCCACCCACGCCCCCGCGCCCATGGCCACCACCCCCAGGACGATCATGAGCGCCACCAGGCTCACCCAACCCACCTCGTCGAAGGCGCGGCCGCTCACGACGGTCCGAATCGATGATGACGAGGTCTCGGGGCTCGAGAAGGAGACTCGCCGCGGGCGGCCGCCCGAGGAGAGGCGCCCAGGAGGGGGCTGGCGCCGGCCGGAGTGGGCGGGGCCTCGCCCACCTCCTGGATGAAGGTGGGCGGCTGGGGCGAGGGGGCGGAAGCCCTGTGTCGCTTACGCGTTTCCATGAAGGGCAGGCCGTGGTTGGTGTTGAGCTGATACGTTTTGCGAGGCGAACACAAGAACCTGGTGAAGGATGGGAGATGGGGGTAGATGACGTGTAAATCAAACTTCTCTTCTTTGTTTTTTGGGTGACGCTAGCTTCGTCACAAAAAAGGAAGTTGGCCAAAAGAAGAGATCAGCCAGCTCAAACCATGAAAGCCAAAGAAGCTGCAACAAAGCTTGGGTTACAATGCAATTCACTTGAGGAGTCTGTTAGGTCTGCTCAGCAGACGAGAAGGAAACCTGTTGGGCTGAGCTCCACCATTTATGTAATTAGCTGTGCGCGGTGGAGGTGATGATGTACAATTCGATGTGGGCCGATAGCTGGCTGATGTCGGTCGGACCCATGAAGGCCTCCAGCGGCACCACAGCCGCGCGCAGGCCATACTCGCGCAGCAGCGCTCCTATGTTTCTGTTCTCGCTGATGCCCCGTCCCACGTCATCATCACCACCATCATCATTGTCACCACACCACAACCGTCGTCAGCGGCATGTCGGGAGCTTACCTGCGTTCGTGGTGGGTCATGAGCAGAAAGGACATCGGGTCGCGCCCCAGGAGGTAGCTCACGCTGGCCACGAAGTCCTCGAACTCTGGAGCCATCGCACGCCATGAGATGTGAGAGCGTGTTGTGCGTGTGCGGTTGTGCGGTGGTGCGTGTGCGGTTAGCGACACGTGCGTGTGCATGTGTGTGTGCGTGCGTGTGCGTGTGGCGTGTGCGGTGGCGGGTTCGTACGGGAGGAGTCGTAGAGGCAGTCGGCAGCGAGGAGCACCTCGGGCGGCGGCGTGTGGGGGTCCATCAGGAAGGCCGGCAGGCGGCCCCACGTGAACCCCCGCACGCGGTACCTACCGCTGCCGCTGTCGTCGAGGCTCTGCGCTACGGAGCTGCGGAGGCGATCCAGCACCGGGCGGGCCTCCTCGGCGTCGGTGAACACCACCTCGGCCGCGCCCGCTTCGGCGGCCGCCATGCCGCAAGTACCCACCCCGCTGCCCAGCTGTTTGTTGCCCCCCCCCCTCTGCAACCATCAGCTCAAGGCCACGCCAGTAAAGGCCTGCACCGGCCAAAGAAAGAAGGGTGGAGCACTGGACCTCAAGTACGCGGCGGCCTCGCACGAATGCGGGGTTGCTGCAGAGGAAGGTCTTGAGCACCACGGCCGATGGCCACTCGTGCTGCCCCGTCTCTGTGCCCATGCACTCCCCAGAGCGTCTTCCTCTTCCATGCCGCAAAAAATAAAATAATATAGAAATAGAAATAATCAAAAACATCATTTGGTAGCGAAAGTCGTTCGTAGAAGTTCTGACAGCACTGCTCACAATCATGATGGCCTCTTGCTCTGCATTCTCGATCAACATATCAAACTGCTCCTGGTCCTACACTGTAGGAGGCGCCTCAGGCGGACCGGAGCGCCAGGTTCCGGCCTGTCACCAAAGGGGAGAAAACTCCCGGTGACCACCTCGTCGTGCCGGGCTTTATCCCTGTTCTCGCCGCTGCAGGAGTTACGCGAGATCTTCTCGTTCTGCCCCGGCACCCGTGTAGGCAACAACCGTCCGTACCTTGGTTCGCCCTCCGTTCAATCCTTCCAGTTGTTTCTTTTCTTCACATTTCCTGATTATAAACATCCCGTAAACTGATTTACATTTTGTCAATCTTTGAAACAATTAGGAAGATTTTGTCGTTACTCTTGTATTACCCCTTGTATTATTGGTTTTTATTCGTATTTATTCATCGTGTTCGTTTATAATATGTTCTTTTGTTTATGGCTGACACAAACGCTACAATAATAATTAATAATAATTATTAATATTAATTATTATACAGTTGGGAGAGGCTAGCCAGAGAGATAGAATGACCATGTGGGAGGACGTGGTGGAGCTGAGGTGGCTGGAGCACTACGTACCGTGGCGCACGGCCCACCTGTGGGTGGCCGACCACCCCGAGGTGCCCGTGCTCCTGAGCGTGGCCTACCTCGTCGGCGTGTTCAGCATCAAGCACGCCATGCGCGACCGCCCGGCCTTCGAGCTCAAGACGCCGCTCCTCCTCTGGAATGTGCTGCTCGCCGTCTTCTCCCTCTTCGGCTCCCTCGCCACCGTGCCCCACATCATCCGCGTCGTCCGCCAGCACGGCATCACCTACGACATGTGCACCTTTGACTCAGAGGTGCGTGTGTTGTGTCGTGTGTTGTGTCGTGTGTCGTGTGTGTGTCGTGTGTGTCGTGTGCGTGCGGTGCTGACAGGTGTGTGGAATGTGTGGAATGCGTGTGGAATGCGCAGAGTATGAACCCGTGGATTTTGCTGTTCGGGCTGAGCAAGATCCCAGAGCTGCTGGACACGTTCTTCATCGTGCTGCGCAAGCGGCCGCTCATCTTCCTGCACTACTACCACCACGTGGTCACGCTCCTCTACTGCTGGCACGGGCTCGGGCTGCAGGCGCCCAACGGCGGCTGGTTCGCGGCGATGAACCTGGTGATCCACACCCTCATGTACGCCTACTACGCGGCGTGCGCCTACGGCGTCCGCTTTGGCGTGGCGACGCGCCAGTCGATCACCACCCTGCAGATCCTGCAGATGGTGCTGGGCATCGCCATCGTGGTGCACAACCTGGTGGCCTGCAACACGCTCCCGACCAACTACATCTTTGGCCTCGTCATGTACGTCAGCTACGTCGTGCTCTTCACCAAGCTCTACATCGACTCCTACGTCAAGAAGGCGAACAGGCGGACGAAGCAACCCACGACCGCGGCCGACCCCACCAGGAAGACCAAGAAGGCAGACTAAATGTACTGTAACGGCTAAAGAAGAAGACCTTTTGTTTCTATCATTATCCGCGGGTCTGGACGAGAGGAATCACAAAAAGTTAATATTGTCTGGTCGAAACGGTTTCCGGGACGGAGCGACTTGCAGTTTCGTTTGCCGTACCTTACAGGCGTACGGAGGTGCCATGAGTTCTCCACCAATTTCACAACACATAAACTTTCTCTGCGTTTTCCAGTTTTTTGCAGACATCTCTTGTGCCGCGTCCCTTCGAGCGTAAGCGTGCCGAGTGGAAGCATTCAGAAGCTGTTGGTGGTTGAACGTTTATTTGTGACGCTCCAGTATGTTCACACAATGGACATACATGTTGACAAGCTGATGGTAGGTGAGCTGTGTCAAGGCTTGAAGGAGAAGCTGCAGAAGCTGGAACTCAGGTGTCCTGTGTGCATGGATGTAGTTTTTCATGAACACAAACATGAGCTTGCAGGGGTTAAGCTCAGGTGAGTAGGTCAGGAGGAACAGATACAAAATGCCATGGCACGCAAAGAGAAGCCTAAGCCAAGGTTGAGTGGCCCAGCCAAAGTGGATACTGGCATTATCAACAATGAAAAAGTCACCATTTGCAAGGTGGCTGGCAGCAACAGCAGCCACAACAAAGTTGAAAAAGTCCTCCTCTGAGTTGGAATCCAAACAGATGTCAATGTAGAAGGGGTTGTCTGGCGTTGCAAGGTTGGTCAGGAGGGTAAGGGAAAATGAGTCAGAGAGGTTGCCACTGTTGCACAGGATGTGTTGCTCACCAACAGGGCTGATGACTTGGGTGTGGTGAAGCTGGCACATGATGAAGTGTGACTCATCACAGAACTTGAGCTTGGCCAGGGGCAGCTGGGGGATGAGTGAGACCCACTCACAGTAATAGAGGATATTTGCAGGGGTGTACTTGAGGACTTGATGGACCACTGGCTTCTTCCATGACCATCACCAATTTGAAAAAATGCACTGGATGAAATTGCGCTTGACCAGCACACTGAGGGCTCAAAATTCATTGATGAAGTCTCCAAGCATGTGTGTGGGGTGCTCCTTTACTAGCTGCCATAGGACAGCTTGAATGGTGGCATCGTTGTCACTGAATTTTAAGCCCCTGTGGGCATAAATAAAATGAGCATTAAAAATGAGGTAAAGAAATTTGGTTGGATGGGAACGCACCAATAGATGAACCTGCCCCATGGCTGTGCATGGATCTTGAATCTTGTGCCGCCAGTAGCATGCAACATCAGGACTCTCACCAAAGGCATGTGCAGCTGCAGCATCACCAAACTGGCTGGCAAAAGCACCCAGTGCACAACAAGAAACAGACCAAAAATGACTAAATCATTCTTAATTAGAAACAAATTATTGAATCAAATAGCAATAAACTGGTGCATACTGACATCACTGGTGTGCTTGATGGAGATGCAGCTGCTGTGGCGTGTAGATGTGGAGCCAAGGCATTTTGTGGATTGATTTGTGTTGCGCCAAAAAAAATGGTGGTGTGACGAAAAAAAAGTGTTTCACAATCAAACAACCAATGATGACATTGCAATGATAATAATTTTTTCTTTACCTCGAATTTTGTTTTTCCAGGACATGCATTTGGCACTGCGCCCAACAACAAGCATTACCATGCATGCCCCAACACTGCTGGTTGATCCTGCCATGATCCTCTCCTATGATGACTTCTACACAGTCACCAATGCAGCCTGCACCTACCCCTGTGACTGGTTCTCTTTGGAGCACAACAGCCCAGGAGACCAGGAGCAGCTCTGTATGCCAGCACACACACTCAAGTGGGAGTGGGGGAAAGGCTTCAAGGCACCAAAAATGTGTATGACTTGCCACATCCCAAAGTACGAGGGCATCAAGAATGGCCCACCAGAGAAGCAGGTCAAGAAGCACATCTGTGTCCTCCAGCCTTGCAAGAGCCTCACTTCATGCTTGTCCCACCACTACCAGGAGTGTATGTACAATCCAAAAATGCCAAGTATGTTCTTGCTTTTAATGCTAATAATTCTTCAAATTCTAGGTGTCGCCCACAGCCAAGAACTCTTGTCATGCAAGCAGAAGCTCAAGGATGCTGAGGAGGTTGAGCGCCAAGCTGCAGCAGAGATGGCCCATTGGGAGGCTGTGCAGAGGAATCAGGAGAAGGCTGAACATTGCCTTGATTGTGGTAAGATTCAAGCCTTGTTGCACTCTATGGGTGAGGATGCCATGTGGGAAATCTTCAATGATTCACTCTCTGAATCATGCATGAAGTATGCTAAATGAAAGAGAGGGGCTTTTGTTGACCTCACTTCTGAGGACAACCCAATGTTGGTACGCCAATCTCTAATTGTGCCATCTGTTGAAATTATTTTGTGATCTAACTTTATTTGCTGTAAGCCTTCTAAAATCACAGAAAGCCTCAAGGCCAAGCTGGTCAAGCAGGCAGCTGGCAATGATGATGACGAGTTTGAGTCTTCCCCTGCTGGCTTCCTGGCCAGCAACACAAGTGCAGCAAGTTGGTGTCTGGTTTCATCACTCACAATGGGTGAAGTCCAGGACCACCTTCAGGCACTGCACATGGAGAAACAGTTCTCCCTTCTTGGCTGGTGTCTGTGCTCCCTGTGTGTTGCTAATCTCTCTTTTTGTTGCAGTGAACTCATTGCCCACCATGAGGAGCTCCTCTGGCAGTGCACCACCAAGGATGTGGAAGTTGAAGTCCTTGTGGACTGTGTGGAGCTTGTGCGCCATGGCCAGCTGCCCCAGTACCTGCTTGACACCCTGATGGCTGCACTTGCCCACCCACAACCAACACCTCCTTGCCCCCCTGTGGACAACAATGTCCTGCTGCCCATTCCTGGGGTGAGCGATAAATAAACACACATTTTCTAAGTATTTATTGTTGCAAAAATGATTTTATTTTTAAAAGGGCCATATATCATTTTATTAATTTAAAAAATCAAAATATATTTTGCTTCGTGCCTTCCTGTGATTGGGCACTCCTGCATATGAAAGTACGTGTGTAGTGAGCGTAAAAGTGGTGGCATGCTTGTACGCCCGCACGGTACGGCAAACGTAACTGCAACTCGCTCCGTCCCGAAAACCGTTTCGACCAGACAATAGGAAAACTCCCCGGGCAGGGTTCGAACCTGCGACCTCACGGTTAACAGCCGTGCGCTCTACCAACTAAGCTACCGAGGATTGCTACTACACTTTCTGGTTGGG